CCTGGAACACATGGTCCTACCTGGCACAGGCTCGAGGATTAGAGAGGGTGGGGGCGGAGTGTGCAGGGAGCCGCGCATAGGGACACAGGCCCAGGCTGTGTACACATGCATCCTGTCTACTGCTGCTTCCCTGCTGATCTCTTTATTGAGCGCCTATTGTTTACTGATTGAGTAGCAGCACTACTCTGCTATCCACTGGGCTCTCTGCATATATGATCTGATTTAGACCTTATAACAATTCAATCAGACAGCTTTCATGCCCCTTTCAGAGAAAGAGATTGATAGAAGAAACATTCTGATTTAGTAAGCGCCTGCTGTATGCAAGCTTTGCTGTCCTAGACAGGGAGGCAGTGTCCTAGGAGAGCCCCGTGTTTCAGGCTCACAGTTCTAGGCTCTTACCCTTGTTCCTCATTCACTATTTATTGGTTTTTGTTTTTTAATTGTCTTTTTCTGCATTGTATTATTAATACAATTTATTATACGTTACAATAACACTGTTTAAACCTAGCAGTGTACACACACACACGTACACGCATACAGTCCATTCTTATTATTCCTGAGTCTGCATTTGTGAATTTTCCTACTCCCTAAAGTGCATTTGTATCCCCAAAAGCAATCCGCCTGGCAGGCGATCACGGTCATTTACGGACACACGCGGAGCAGTGAGGTGGAGGTGACGTTAGCTTAGCACAGTCTATGATCTAGAGGCACAGGTTCAGACCTCTCGAGATGAACATCACTACCAGACCCCCACCACAGCCCATTGTGCCTTTGGCTATTTGGATTGAAGGGGACCTCGGCTCCCTGAGGCTGCTTCCCCCTCTGTAAAATGGGGTGCTGTGCGGGATTTCCTGGGAGTTAGAGGACCCATGTTGGTGGGTCTAAAGGGCTTGGGGCGGTGCCTGGCATAGAGTAGGTGCTCAGTAAATGGGTTCTGGATTAAGAAATGCCCAGCAATCTCAGACCCGTACACGACTGCAGGAACTTTGCAAACCTCTCCTGCTTCCTTCCTAGAAATCTTCATCAGGAAGAGATCTTGGGCTGACCCTGAAACTAGGGCAGAAGGCCACACTTCCATGTGGTTACAATTGGCCTTTTGAGGGGCCATCACCCGAGGGGACAGCGCAGGCTCCCCCCTCTCCACACCAGTGGTCCGATTAGCGCCAGCCACCAGAGTGAGGCATCCGGGGGCAGAGGCCGGGCAGTGATGGATAACCCCATCCAGGGACGCACACACAGGGCTATTTTGGGGCCTCCTGCCTGGGAGGCGGCCTCCTCGGGGCACAGGGGCCATTGACCCGGAAACAAATTAAAGGCACATCTGTTGGGAGCCATTTCCAGAGTGGCTCCAAGCAGCCGCCTGCTTTCCTGGAACAAGGGGGCTGTGTGTGTGGTGAACTGGGCACATACCATCCAGGCTGAGGAAGGGGGACCGCAGAAGCCCCAGCCAGGAAGGGGCAGCCTTGGGGGAGACAGGGGCTCAGCAGAAAAGGCCGTTTCTCCGTCTAGCGAGTCTTGGTCAAAGAGGGGCTATTTTTCAGGGTCCTGAGTCACTGAGGACAAAGATAGCAGGATACTGGATGTGGGGATTTCCCAGCACTCACATCATCACCCGCTTTCCACTTGAAAGAATCCGAGTGTGAACTCTCTCCTCCCACTCACTCCCAACCACCCAGTCCCTTCTCATGGTCACTCATGGCCATCTTGGCTTACATATTAGGACAGCCCTGCAAATCAGGCTGTAGAGCACCTCAGCATGCTTGCTGATGACTAATAAGATGACATTTGTCTCTGGGACCTCCATCCAGTGTCCTCAGTGTGCCTCTGAGGCACCACAGCAGATACATGTGCTCAGTAGTGTGTGGATGGATGGATGGATGGATGGATGGATGGATGGATGGATGGATGGATGGATGAATGGTTGAATGGATGGATGGATGGATGGATGGATGGTGGGTGAATGGATGGATGGATGATTGGATGGACTGGTGGGTGGGTGGGTGGGTGGATGGATGGATGGATGAGTAAATGCATGGATAAAGGATATATGGATGAAGAGCAGAGGGATAGATGAGGGACGGATGAATAGATGAAAGATATATGAATGAAAAATGGATGGCTGGAGACTGGATTGAATAAATGTTTTGTTCTAGACACAGAGAACAAAGAAACAATAAAGACACCTAACACATGGGCCCAACATTCCCTCCCTTGGATAAGAAAGCTAACGTGAGCTGCTTTAGATCTAAATCACAAACACCACTTCCACGATGGGACCTATCTCCCTCTCCCAAGAGAAATGAAATGACAAGTGGAGAAAGAGGAGAAATCAATTCTGGGATCTCAAGTTAGACCACTGCCAGCAAGAAGCGTTCCAGAAAGGAGAACGTGAAGAATGCCATCTGACTGTGTCGTCTGTCCGTGGGATTTATGTGACGTCTCCGCTATGTTCACTGACCCACTTGTTGAACAGACACATTCCCCAAGCACTGACTCCAGTCCAGGCTTCATGTGAGGGGCTGGGGAAGCATCCAAGTCCTGCCCCCCGGAAGCTCACAGTCAAGTGGGGTACAAGCAGGCAGTGTGAGCCCAGCCCTACTGTGCAGTAACAAGGTCGGAGCTTTGAAGCCAGGCTGTCTGCACTTGAGTCCTGCCTCATTAAGTGACCCTGGGCATGTTGCTTGGACTATCGAGCCTCAGTTTCCTCCTCTGTAAAATGGGGATAGTCCTAGATTAACAAGCACTATTGTTTATTAAGGCATTTAGAATGTGTCTGGCACCCAGGAGGCTCTAAGAACCGCTTATTAAATAAAATAACAGCCCCGGTTGGGATGCAGAGCCGTCCTGGCGCTGGCCCCACTGATCAGAGTGATGTGGAGCATCCTCGGGGACAAGGGCCCGTGAAGGAGGTGGCATCGCAGCTACTCAACCATTTCTTCACTTCCTTCTTTTTTTAACTCGAAGACATTTTTGTTACGTGATTCTTTTTGAGTTCATTGCCTGCAAACTCAGAACAAGTTTATGGCTGGCTGTTACTGGAGCTCACTCTTTTTGAACTCAAAGTCACAGACATTAATGAGCATCAGACTCACAAGCCCTGACTGAGCCGCTCCCACAGGTCCATGGGCCCATGGGCGGTGGGTCCACTTTTACCTTCTGTCAGCTGCTCCTTAAACGTGTGGGCCCCAAGTGTGTTCCAGGCTCCGTGTGAGGCCCGAGGTGCATGAGCTCAAGGGTGTCCCAGTAGATGGCTCTGCTCGCTTCACCTGGGGCGACTCAGCAAGGGTGAGCAACTTGCCCAAAGCCACACAGCAGGTCCATCCATCAGAGTTGTCTGCAAACCCAGACAGTCTGGCCTTTGGCTTTTCCACTTGGCTGCAAGTCATGTGAAAAGGTCACCGGACAATTCTGTGCCTTGGTTTGCCTGCAGGGATGACGATGAGACTCAGTCGTTAATTCCCACGGTGCCCTGGGGTAGCATGACGCTCGCTCTAAGTTCTGAGCATTGGCTGCTGTCACCATCCTCAGACTCACAAACCCCGCCCTGTCCACGCGTGGCCTTGGGGCGCGGTGGCATCCTGTGGATCGAGTCCCCTCCCTCCACAAGGGTTCTGGGCTTGGGGACCGACATGCCATTTACTGGGGGGAATTGAGAGGAGGGAGACTGTTCTTTGAGGGCAGCATGTGGTTTGAGTTTGAAAGTTGACTTCCTCACAGTCTAATGAGCCTCTGAAAATGATTAAGCAGAAGACAGAAAGGTTAAGCCAACGCCTTTTTATCGGGAGTGGTAATGGAGTCTAATGTCTCCAAATCCGTTTCCCGACGGCTCCTGCCATCTCTCCATGAAGGGACTAGTTTCCTGGTGCGGTGGAATTTTAGCCCAATCCCTCAACATGCAGGCGAGGCGAGGGCCTGGCTGGCAGGCCTTGCCTCATACTACAAGTTCCTTCTGCATCTGCAGGGCCCGGGATGTGAGCTGAGAGCTCAGGGTGTCTGAGACAGAGGCTCCCCCCGCGCCTCTGCTCTGGTCTGCTCCAGCTCCTTCTGCTGGGAACACCTTCCCGCGCCCAGCAGGAACATTCCTGCTCTTAGAAGTTCTCAGGGAAACCACCCTTGCTCTGCATTTCCTCTGGGCTGGGTGGGACTTTGCACACAGATGCCTAAATTATCTACATAGGGGTCCTCTCCTCCTACTGATTCAAAGATATGTCCTATCTGGAACCCCAAACGTGAAACCTCATGGTACCAGGCAGGGATTTGCCTCCCCAGGCCAGGAGAAGGCCCAGCTCAGACCCACGTGCTGTTAGGAGAAAGGTCTGGTCTGCGGGTGATTGTCAGGTCACAGGGCAGTGTTGCTGCATCTCAGAGTCGACAACCAGGAGCACTGAGGTCCAAGGTCGAAGAAGATGGATGTGCCAAGTCAAAGGGAGAGCAAAGTCACCATTTGTGACCCTTCTTTTCTAGTCAGGTGCCCGGGGGTGGTGGTGCCCACCGTCTTGAGGAGGGCAGATCTCTCCTTGGTCTCAGATTCCAGTGCTCGTGCCTTCCAGAAACACTCTCACCTGGAAGCAAGGTTTCACCAGCAATGTGGGCATCGTCAGCCCAGTCAGTCTGACACACATAATCAGCCATCACAGGGAGAAGGCGAGACTCCCAGCAGCTGGGCCTGGGAAAAGGCTCATCACAACAAGCCAGGGATGGTAGAACGGGCTGTGTGTGGGGTGAGAATGCAGGAGACAGATGCAAAACGAGCCTACAGAGGCCACCAGCACAAACACAAAAGGCCTGATGTGCTAGGAAGGGATTTATCCTGCTGGGAGCCACTGGAGGAGCTGTTGAGGGGTGATGGGGCAAGACAGACGAAGCAGCCACTCTGGGAGCACCGGGCTGGAGGCCAGCTGGGGAGGCGACCCGGGGTGGGTGTCTGGATGGGATGGAGCACGTGCTGCAGAGTGAATGTCCTCACGGAGTGAGGCCCAGGGGATGCCCTGGGAGGCAGCCCTCGGACCTCTCAGAAGAAAGCAGTTCCTGCAGGCCTGGAAATCAGGAAGAGCTTCCTGGAGGAGGTGGCAGAAGTTAAGTCTGGTCAGGAGGAGGACTGGCTGGTCTTGAGAGCGACAAGATGACTCGGAGCCAGGAAACAAGATCTGCGGTGTGTTCTGGGGTCCTGGGCAGCCCTGTGGGTCTGAACAGTGGCTCTCAGATGCGGGAACGATGCCAGCGAGTCAAGAAGGATCCAAGGACTGGCAGTGTGTGCTGGGAGAGGCAAAGGCCTGCTCTCCCCATGCTCCACTAGGCCTCCAGACTCTGAGGACAATGCCAGGGAAGGAAGCTGTTCTCCTGCAACTAAAATTCCAAAGGAATGAGGCATCCTGTAGCCCAACCACCCTCCTAGTCCTTCCATGTCCTTCCTCACTTCTACACTAAATCCCTCCACAAGGACCTCTCTGCTCTCAGAGCAAACCTCCAGTGTGCAAATTCAAGCGCATTTCAGACTATTGAAGAGGAAGCTTGTGGCAGCGCCTCCCCGCCAGGGAGAGGATGATGGGCCGCCGTCCTCTTCGGGACAGACGTGTTCTTCTTCAGCCCCGAACGTAACGTGAACGTCCGGGGAGGCACAGCCAGGGCAGCCGGCAGGGACGAGGCGTGCGGTGTCCGCGGCCCCCCTCCACTTGCCCTCTGACTGCTCTGTGCCTGTGACTCGCCCTTTCCAGGCCTCGCTTTGTTCATCTGAAAAAACGTGATGGTAAGCCCATCCACAGGCAGTAGTTCACGGGGCTGTGGGAGTGTGCAAATAAGCTCTTGGGCGTGAAAATACTTTGGAAAGTAAGACGCGTCCTCCAGTACGAGGGGCGGCTGCTGCTGAGGACGACTGTCACTAATCTGAAGGGCCGCGGGAAGAACAGTATTGTTCACAATAGCAGAAATGCAGCCGGGGAGAAAGCTTCTCTGATCCTGGCAGTGACTTAAAGCACAAAGCTGCGGCGAACAGTGGACCTGTCCTCACCCTAGACGGGGCGGCTCAGTCCTGACAACACGCTACTCCCCACAGGGACAGAGGCCCCCCAGAAGCAAGCGCCCCCTCACTGGTGGTCCCCCAGGAACCTCTGGGGAGGCCTTGCGTCTGATGACGGGGAGGGAGAAACTCAGCCGTCACCCTGGGCCCACTGGCCCTTCGCGGCCACGGAGCTAGAAGCCTCATCCTCAGCGTCTGCTCGTGGCCTCATGTCACGCCCCCGGCTCTCACGCAGGCTGGGCCCTGGACATTCCGCTGTCGGGGCTTGGGAACGGCTTCCAGGCCAGCTGGAGCATGAGGGTGGCCAGGGACCCCACCCTCGGGGCGGGCCTGAGGGGAGATGGAAGAGATCAGGACCCCCTGGGCGGTTATCGCCTTCATCTGTAAACAGCGGCCAGCCCTCCCCGGGGCGCCCCAGCCTCACACTCGGGGTGACAGCCTGTTTGGATGTTCCAAGCCCCTCACCCAGCCGCCTTTGTTCTCCAGGCTTAATGAAGGGACTACTAAGCCCCCTGCTTGCCAGATAAGCTGACAGGGCTGTCTTTTAGGGTTATGGATGGTACACAGGAGGGGACAGGACGAATTCCTGTGTGCGGAGGGGCTGGGCGCGCTGCCTTTTGTCCAGGGCTGGACTCGTCCCAACTGGTACAAGTTTGGTCCTTCAACTTCCCAAACAAACATTTCTGACACGAGCCAAAAGATTAGAGGAAGACACGAGAGGCAGGCATGTGGGGGCCACAAAGGACATCACCCCTGAAGGCCAAAGGCTGGGGGGGGGCAGCGTTTCTACCTTCCGCTCACCTCCAGACTGGCTCCCTGCGATCTCTCTATGCGTGATGAGAACTGGGCCTCACTCAGTGCGTTTGAGCCTACAAAGTGCTGGAAAGTCAGGGTGGGGAAGCAGGACGCTGAACGGTGCTATCTGCTTTCCGCTCTCTGAAGGCTGGCTGAATCACTCACCATCCCAAAGCAGCGGGGCCAACTCCTGTGGTTGGGGTGGGGGCCCCATAATTAGCATTTTGGGGAGCTACTATGGTCCCCTGGAAGCTGTCATCTATTTCCCTGCGGGACGGCGGCTCCAGGTGGAATGGGAAGGCGTCTCCGGATGGAAGGCCTCATTGGGGTGCTCCCCCCTGAATGGCAGGTGTGGCCCCCTCCAGCCTCTGGGCACTGCACCCACCCTCCACATCCCAGGCAGCCCGGATCCCCTCCCCAGATGAGCCCTAATATGCACAAGCTTCCTTCACTCTCCCACCTCCCCTCCCACCAGCTTCATTGTGCTCCCCTGTGGCTCAGCTAGAGATCAGGCCCCACTCCTGGAGCCGCCAGTGCCCAGGCCTGCCATCACTGATGAGGTGTCCAGAGCTCTGGACAGCAGCCCCACCCTCCAAACTTTGCCCCCTGCCTTAAATTCCCAGGGAGTCAGAGGCGCTGGAGGCGGAGGGCCATCGGGGCAGGGGCGTGCATCCTGCTATGTTTTCTTTGACATGGGGCAGCCTCCTTCTAGCCCCTTCTCTTTGGCCAGAATCTTCTCTGGCAGTTAAGATAGTAAACTGAGTCAGTGTGTCCACTAACAGTGCTTTGTGCCAAGGCAGGTGAGCAGGTGTGGAAATGGGCATTTTGCACAGCCGGATGTGCCTTGATTTGCCTGTGACTGTGCCACCCCCGCAGCTGCTGGGGCAGAAGCCCCACCCAGGAGCGCCCTGCCTCTCCGAGTTACCCACCCTGTGGAGCCACCGAGGGCCAGGTCCAGGGGCCTGTCAGCAGCTGCCCAATCACAGGCCCAAGGGCCGAGGCCACCAGGGCCTCTGGGGCCAGGCCTGTGGGTAGGGGTCAGCCTGATGCATTATGTAACAGAAAATAGGCTGTGACAGAGAACAATAAACACTGGGCCTGGGGGAGCCACTTTCCTCCCGGCAACTTCCCCGTTGGTGGAGAAAGGCTTCTTCTCCGACTTTCTTCCTCCCACGGGAAGGCAAACTCCTCCTCAGGGAAGTGCCCGCAGCTGTGACCTCCTCCAGGCCCCCATCCTCCCTCACCACCTCTCACAGCTCTGTGGAGAGCCTCCCTGCCGCCCAGTGTCCCCAGAGCCCTCTGTACAGCGCCGTGTTCCCACCCCAGCTCTCCAAGGCTGCCCCAGGGCACGCTTCCGCCACCTAGGCTTGCTCAGCCCCGGGTCCCTCTCTTCACCTCGCCAGCCCAGGGGCCTTCCACAAGCACCTTCCACTTGCTGGCCCCCAGGCCACATGCACATGCTGTTCCCACTGGAACATCATCCCCCAGGTCTTGCCTCGTCTATAAATCTTCCCCAATTTTTTTTTTTTTTTTTTTTTTTTTCAAATTTTAACTGAAAATTTTCTCCGGCACTTAGCCCCTGGGTCCTCCTGGTTATTTCTTTCTTCAAAGCATCTTCTTTGTGGCCTCTGCTTTCTCTGTTCGTCTCCCCGTTTCATTGTCAGCAAAGGGACGGTGACTTATTCGCTGCGGTGCACCCATGCCTGCTCTGGAAGGGCTCAGATCGGGGGAGACAGGCATTTAAACAAACGCGTGCAGCAAAGCTCTAGAGGTGCCACAGCGGAAAACACACAGCATCTTTGTTTAAACGTCCAGGTCATGGGAGCCGAGGAGCAAAGGCAACGGGAGGAAACGGCTGGTTACGCCAGGAACCAAGGCAGTTAGCTGAGAATTGCTGGAATGTTCCCAGGGGAGACGACCAGCATCGTAGGCCACCTTCACAAGAGACCACCGTCCTGCATGTGGTGAGGCCCTTTGAAAGAGTCCTTTCATTATAAATCATAATCATCTTAAATCAATAACTATCACAAACCTTCACTTATCAGAGGAGAAGTCTCTAATGTAAGGGAACCCAAACAGCACCAAACCTAAAGAATAATGAGCCACAAGGAATAAGAAAACCCCTTAGGATTCAGGCTCTGCCCTGACTGGGGGGCCAGGGGGACACCCACAGAAGACACTGAGCCTCAGCTCCAGAGGAACCAAGTGGCCAGACAAGGTCAGGGGAGAAGACACGGTGACTGAGGAGGCCAGAGAGGAGATTAATCATGAACTTCAGCAGGAGGAAATCAAGATGCTACAAAGTGCATCTTCCTTACTTTGCCTCATTCCAAAAGACGCTTGACATGGGAGGGAGACAAATTTCGAAAATAGTAACTAAGAAAGAAAATAATAACTGAGGAATGTTAATCATGAAGGGGACACAAAGAAGCCAGCCCAGAAGAGGCTGCTCAGACCTAGAGGGGAGATGGACAGGCACAGCCAAGTCCCCGCGCTGCCTGTTTCAGGACACAAGCACCAAAATGGCCGAGGGAGAATCGTATTTCAGGTCACGTCCCCCATCTTTGATTAGCTCCGTCTTCAGCGCTGTCTCCTTCCACAAACCAACGCCCCGCTGCTTGCCGGTCCACCGACTCACTTGAGAGTTATTCCTCGAATGTCTAGTCGGAATGAAAATGCTTCGTCAATCTCATCGGCTCCTCACCCATACACCCCAGGGCTCAGGACGGGCCCTGACCCGTCGTGCTGCTCACCAGTGAAATCTGACCCACAGCGGAACATTATTCAGCCTCCACAAAGAACCAGACTCCAACATACACGACAGCATGGGCCACCCTGTAGACATCACACCAAGTCTTCCTTAAACCAGAGGGAAAAGAACAGACATCCTCGGCTCACTGCGATACGAGGCCCCGTCGAATTCACGGAGGCACAGGGCAGGACAGAGGTCCCCAGGGCTGGGAGGCGGGGGTGAGTGTTTGATGGGAACAGCCTCTTTTCAGTTTGGGAAGATGAAAAAGTTCTGGCACGGAACAGACAGTGGTGATGGTTGATCAACAGCGTGAATGTCCTTGACACCATCGCATCGTGCACTTAGAAACCCTGGACGGAGCAACTGTCACTAATGTGTCGTCCACATTCGGGGGCGAGTGGAGAGAGCACACACACAGCCTTCTCTGCTGCTCTGTCCCTCCGTGCCCCACCCCCTCAGCGTCATCCACGTACAGGCTGCAGGTTCGACCGAGGGGATCAGCTAGCTCCTTCCCCGCGCTGTTTCCTGGAGCCGGAAAATGAAGTCATCGCTGGCCAGCACTGCGGGTGACCGTGGGCCCCTCCGCCTCACCAGCTGCTCCGCGGGGAGAGGAAGGGGCTCGGGATGGGAATTAAGCATAATTTGTTCTCACTGAAGCATCATTTTCAGCTGTTATCCTCTGAAAAGTGTCTCCCTGGGAAGCCACCGCCTCCATGAAGATCCCAAACACGGCTCCAGTCCTGACAGCCCCTCGCAGGCGGCCCTCCCAACCTGGAAGCCACTTCTGTGTGGGTCTCTGTCCATCGCCAGCTGGGCCCGCCGCCGACGGCATCGCGCGTGCAATCACACGCGTGTGTGTCCTGCTTGGGGGCTGGCTTCTGGGGCTCCGCACAGGCCCAAGGAGATGCGTCCAGGAGGCTGTGGGAACCGGCCACTTGCTCGATGATGGATTCTAAAGAGTCGGCTGTACTTCCACAGGTGAGGGAAAAGGACTTCAGGGCGGAGGGTGGAGACTCGGGGTGAGCACACGGGCTTGCCCAGAAGGGCCGGTGTGGCTGGACTGCCGTGGCTGACCTGACTGAGATTCAGAGTCAGCTGAATGCACAGAATCCAGGGAGAGCAGGAGGAGAAGAGAAAGAGAGAGCATTGGGGGACCCCTGTCTGGAGCGACAGCAGAGGGAAGCTGCCCTCCCAGAGCCCCGTCGAAGATCTTTGAGCCCTGGGCTTGGCACTGCAGGATCGTTTTCCCTTTAGGGGAATGACATGCCCCCTAATGCAGCCCAAACCTAAGACTCTCAGTCAGGGCCTCTCTCCAGCCCCCAACCCAGGCCTCTCCCAGGCACGCGCACCGCTGCCCAGTCACCCCCTAGATCAGGGCTCCACTGCCTTTCTAACCCTTAGCGCCAGGGGCGAGAGGAGCAAAGCCATTGCAGCCCCAAACGCTCTAGGCAGACAAGGCCTTGTGTCCCCTTAGGGGTCCCGACACCCATGGCTCGTCCCATGCTCAGGCTTTGCCTGCTGTGGAGGGACATTGAGGCCTGTTTAGGATTTGTTGTAATTAACGCTGCTGTTGGGGTGTCAGAGCTGAGGCCACCGGAGCTCAGAGGAGGGACCCGAGGCCCCGGGGGGGCTGCCACCCTCTTCAAGGCTGCAGACTGGCCCTGGCGCCCGTGGCCATGGCTGTCGAGACTCGCCCACCTCCCAGCCGAGGGCTGACCTGTTGAGGACAGAGGCTTCTCCCTTCCTTCCCAGCAATCAGTGAGCAGGCGGCTTCCATCACGGCCTGGGGACGGGACCTGCTGCGCTGTCAGAGAGCCGGTCCCAGCCCCGGGAATGTCCCGCTGCTTCCTAACTTCAGTCCTCCGGGCCGCCCCGTCCAGCTGTGGGGCTCTGCGAGGCTCAAGGAGACAAGGGGGGAACACAGAGTGCCCCCTAACCAGCCTTGGTGTGTGGCTACACCCACACACCTTTTAGCGCAGTGTCCTTACTCCTGTAAACCATGCTGCATTTGACACGGGAGTCGGGGAGGAAGAAGTTGCTGCCAATAACAGGGTGGCTGCCTTGGGCCCTAAGCCAGTCACCCCTCTGTCAGCACCCCTCCCTGAGGAAGACCTGGGGTATGCGGTGGCACAATTACCTCCATCTCACAGAGAAGAAACCTGAGGCTCAGAGTCGTTTGCCCAGGCCTTAGTATAGCATAGATGCTCAGTGTTTGTTGATGGACTTATTGATTGTACCTTATAAAAATGCTCATGATAAATCAGTTGAAAATGGTCGGCACTAATGGGATTTTCAGCGACTTCCAGACGGCAGAGCAGAACTGGAACAGCACTAGAGGAAGAGCATGCCCTGCCCCCACCCCACTCTGGTCCCTGCGATGAGACTCCGTCGCCTCAGTGTGGTCGTTTGACCACCCCACTCGGCGGGACCCCGCCAAGTCCCTAGGGAAGAAGGAGGCACCCAGGACACTTGCCCCTCAGAGCCGCAGGTGCAGCTGGGAGAACAGAGAAGTGCTTTGTGGTCACGTCCTCTCCACTCGCCCCATCCGTACTACCAATGCATGGGCCTGGGACCCATGCAAAGAAAAGCCACTACCCTTTAGGGACCTCTGTCTTGTGCAGAAGACCCCAGAACAGCAGCTAAGTGACCACACAGAGCTGGCCACAGCAGGAGTCTGGGCCCATCTGTGCGGCTCCAGCCAGAGGACAGAGTGGACAGTGTGGCAGCTACTGTAAGCCCAGCCGGACCCTAGGGTGGGCTCAGGCAGGTGCAAAGAGGGTGAGGGACAGGGGGACCCCCACTGAGAGCCAGGCCTGCAGCTCAGCCCCAAGGGTGCGGGGAGGGCTGGTTGTCACTATAACAATGGCCTCATCACCAGCCCCACTGCTATTTCCACTCGCAGAACTTCCCGCTTCCCATCGAAAGAAGGGGTGGGGCTCCAAGAGCTCGCAAGACTTTCCGACCAGGTGTGCGTGGTTCCACAACTAACTCGAAAGCCCTGGGGTTGCCAAGTCCAGAGGCCTCCGTGTTGGGTGCCAGCCCCAGCACTCACAGGCTGCCTAACTTCCAGCCTGATCTTTAAGCCCCTGCACCTCAGTCTCCCACTCTGTAAAATGGGATCATAACTGTCCTCTCCACAGGACCACTGCGAGGGTCAAATGAGAAAGCACCAGCGGGAGGCTCACCCACTAAACCCGCTCAAGAGCGTGCCCACCCCTTTTCCTGCGCGGTCATTTTCCCCGAGAAGACAGGCTGGCTCCGGGAGGGTGGGAGCCCTCTTAGCAGTGCTCTCTCACTGTGGAACTGGACACACAGGTGGCCCAAGGCAGTCGGGGAAAGCCAGGCCCGGAGGCCGGGAGGCCGGGAGGCTTGTCGATGTGACCCACCACCAAGAGGGCAGCACCGGCCAAGGCCAGCAGCCAGGTCCCCCAGCCCAGGGCCCGCCCGCCCTTGATCCCCCAGCAGCTGCTGCAGAAGGCCATTCTGTCCCCGGCCTCAAACAGGGGGCTGCAGCCCGCTTGCTGCCTGGGGCCTCGGGGTGCTGGAGGAGAGGCTGCTTCCGGGCAATAGCCTATTAACACTCATCACCCATAAAACGGGTAGTTTTCAAATAGCCAGGTAATTGAGGCCACTGGGTGGCAGGGGGCTGGAATTACCTGATTAATTGCCTCACTCCTGGGCCCCGCTTGTTTAGACACAGCCCGGGAGGAGGGCTGGTGCTTTGAAGCCCCGTGACACTCTGCCCGCGCGCCCTCCAGCCCCGCTTCCTGTTTTGCGCAGGGGCTGCCCACCTCATCCGTCAACACCCACCAGCCGTAAACTTTTATTTTTAATCCTTATTTTAAAGAGCGATCCCTTGGGCCTTTTCTCTGCTTTTATCTAGATCCAAGAGCCATATTCATTCATTTCTTCATTCATTCAATAAAAATTTATCAAGTGCCTGCTACCTGCCAAGTTCTGTTCTAGACTCGCGGGGTACCGCAGCAAAAAAAATAAAAATAAAAACTAGAGATAGAATAGGGCCACCCGGCTGAACCCTGGCGCATGGCCGGGGAGGCGGCAAGAGCCTGTAGCCCTAGGAGTGTTGGTCCCTTTTCTTGAAGAGACGGACAGTGACATATCTGCGTGTGGGGCTGTGCAGAGATTTTAGAGGACACTCACCCGGAATAGCAACCACGCCGGATTCCCTCCACGAGGCCAGTCCCCGCTGGAGGACAGGTGAGTCATCAGTGAGCACATCTTGCAACATGCCAGGTGGTGGCAGGAGTCTGGGGAAAAGAGAAAGCAGGAATTGGGGGACACTTGCACATCCAGGGGCACCATGGGGGTTTCTAGGGGGAACCAGCACTGCACAGACTAGCACTGGAAGTCCCACATCCCAGGGAAACACTCTGTCCCCAGGAACCCAGGGCGGCTGGTTCCCCGGGATCAGGTAGAGCCACACTGAGAGCGGGCAGCAGGCTTGGCTTTTTAGGCGCTTGAGCTGTATGGAAGGTGGGGAGTGGGGTGTGCTTTGGAAAGGCCTCTGCCTGCAAGAAGCTTTCCTTGGTGAATACCCGGGATACACCTGGCGTCTTCCATACTTCTGAATAACGCCAGGGAGCAGACACTGTCACCATCCCCGGGTGACAGAGGCAGAAGCTGGGAAGGGAGAGGCTCCATCCCCCGCCTGCTCTCTCCAGGCACAAGCGGGGCGGCCCACCCCAGGGCCAGAGTCCTTCCCAGGACCGCACGCTGGCTCCTGTCACTCTCGCTGCATGTCCAAGAAGCAGGCAGGGCAGGGATCAGCCTCCCACTTTACAGATGGGGACACGGAGAGGCCCGCACAGGAAAGAGACCTTCCCTGCCCAAGCCCCGGGTCTACCTTCTTCCAGGCCAGTTCCTGGAAGCGGCTCAGCACCTTCCCTGGTGATGCTGTTGCGAAAACTGGCCTCACTGGCATGGGACCCTGCCCTGGCCTCTCCCTTTCCCCGAGGCAGCCTCTCTCTCCCCACCGCCAGGTGAGCGAGGGGAAACCCCTCACGCACCCACCCACCCACTCCCTCTGCTCCTTTCTCCAGGGGGGAGACAATTATTTGTTTTTCCTGTTGCTCTGATTTATGGGCCACTTTGTTCTTTATCTATTTGCACAAACTCAGTAAAGTGACCCGCTCCTTCCCAGAGGTCAGAGATTCTGTCAACACCTCCGGGTCACAGGTCATCCACCGGCCCAGGGTGGAAGGGGTTACAGGAGGTCACCTGGGAATGGACGGCAGATTCCAGGTTGGCTCAGGCCCAGTCTCTGCACAGGGCTCCTGCAGGCGCAGAGGGAGGGTGAAGGGGCACAGAGACCTACTGTGCGCAGACTGACACATCTAGTTCCAACTAGAGTCTGACAGGGAGACATGAGCGTCTCCATTGTGTGACGCGGGAGCAGATGTTTGGAGCAATGGGGGAACTTACCCAATGGTCCGGGCATGGCGCATCTCCAGATCTCCCGCACACTCTGTCTGCCTGGGCACACATGCCAGGAGGGTTCCCCAGACCGGGGCTGCTTTATGCCGCTTCTACCCTTGGTTCTACCCTTGGGTTAGTGGGAACACCAGCCTGGGCTCACTGTCTCCCTCTCATCCCACCCCTGCCCCCCTAAGGGCCCACCATCCTCTCCGCCACCCCCCTCCCCACATCTCCACGGGCCCAGACTGTGCAGAGTCTGGGGTTGTGTTAACAGGAGGGTCAAAGGGAACAAACCCACGCCACTGGGTGGGCAGGCATCACTACCAGCAAATTGGAACCCTGCCCAGCTCCCACCCCAGCCCCAGCTAGACTGAAAAGCTCAGGGAAGAGTCCCAAAGGGCAGACACCCTGGTCATGTGACCTTGGAGAGCCTCAGCCTCCTCCGTCAGTACATGGCACTGACTGCCAGCCACCAGAGGAGAAGCCCACAAGATAGAGCTCAGGAGTGCACCGAGGACTAAGAATATCAATCTCTGCACTTCACAGAAGGGGATGGAAAGGCCCCAACATAGAAAGGAAATTCAGACAGGGTTGCCAAACAGGCCTAAACTGGCATTGCTTAACATAAGGTTCCAAAAGCCTGGCCAGGAGTCCACAGCCCCTCCCCGCCTAGGGCCAAGACAGCTCCTCTCTCCTCTCACTCTGCAGACAAATCCCCAAATGGATTCACCACACGCTCTCAAGAAGCTTTAGAGATCCCTCAAAGGGCTGCTTTAGCCATCCAACGCTAAAATAATGTGATCCAGTCTATTTCACTTCATTCCCAGTCAACCTCTGGGAATTCTACCCAGGTCAGCCAACTCACCTCCTCTAGGCCCAGAAGAGCCAAAGAAACTAATGATGATAAACACAACTCCATTAAACTTGACCCAAGTCAGCTCAGTACGTTCATCACAACTCAGCAAATTCCATCGTATCCCAATTAGCTCCAAAACAACCCCATCCAATGTTACCCTCCCCCATCCCATTCAGTTCTTCTCAGTGATGACAGGTTTCCCAGCCCAGGCTAACCCAATTCAAGCTAATTCATACTAACATGATACAGAATGCTTCCCAACCCCGAACAACACAATCTATCCATTCATATTACAATCCATCACAAGCAAATGCCTCCAGACACATCTTAAATGTAAAACATTTTTTTTAAATAAAGTGAGAATTTAAATCTAAAGAAAATAGCACCTGCTGACACTTCCAGCCATTCAGCTTCCAGTCGTTCCTTCAGTGTAGGTCTCCCTTGGGTCTGTGACATGATGCTCTCATTCCAGCCTCTCTCTGGGAATCTCTCCCTCCTGTTCATCTCCTCCCTGTCATGATCCGTGCTCTTGGCAGCCCCCACCTCCAGCAAAGATGACTTCCCAGGAGATTTCAGCCGCAGGTTTCTCTCTTCATCATTTCCCCTTGGAATTAACGAGAATCTTCCTAACCCAAGTGAACAATTATACTCTGATTTCCCTTACCTTTTATGTGAATGGGGTCTTCCCCCGTCACAGTGAGAGCTTCTGGAAGGAAGGAGCACACAGTGAGACAGTGAATTCTGCATGCCATATTTGGTAACAGATGGGAATTCCAATGATGATTTTAACAATGCATACTTTTTACTCTACACGTTGTCGTGTAGACATCTTTAGAATCTCAGCCTTTACAAGGATGCAGTTCTATTGGATGGATTTATCTTCAGTCATGCTTGCTTCTAATTCATTCACTCTGTAGCTAGATTAGGTTTAAAAAACCTGTCATTCAGTCTTAAATTCCTTGAATGTTTTCCATTTCCCTTGACAAAGCCCAGATTCCTTAATAAGACTTCCACAATCCTTCAAGACATGATCCTTGCCTCACCAGCCTCAGAACCCCCTATCCTTTGCTCTCCAGCCTCTTCTGGGCCTTTCCATTTACTGTCTCTGGTACTGAAAATTCACCTCCACCCCTCCACCCGGGGAGTTTATTCTCCTACTTCAGGCCCTAGCTGAAAAGTCATTTATTTCAGAACTTGCTAGATCCCTAGACTAGTTCGACTTCTCTGGAAATCTATCTCCATATCAGTCTACTCTAATCAATATTGCCGTGTCTTGTGTAATGACTCTTTCCCCATAAATATAAATTCCACAAAGGCGAGAAACATGTCCAACTCTTTCTCCTTGAATCCTGTGTGTGCAATATGTGTTGAATGATGAATAAGATACTGTCCACTGCCTCTGACCCAATTATGAAACGAGACTCCAGTTCATTCATTCATTGATTTTTTCATTTATTCTTTCAAACAAATTCCTTGAATACATGCCATGCATGTGTTCAGAGTCATGCATGTTTTCAGCTCTGAGCTCTGAATGGCTAAGAGCTCCAAGAATCACTAAGGGGATCCTCAACTTGTCGCCTTTACTTAAATCTACATATTTCCATAAAAGGAGCTTCCAATGTATTCACTTGCTCAACCACGTGTAAGTTATTTGGTTTTTTTTTTTTTAATTTTATAATCACAAACTTAACTCTGGACTGTAGCTCAGCTCGGAAGAGAACAAAGAAAACATGGAGCCCAAATAACTGTAGGGAGAACATAAAAATGACAGGCTATTTTGAGAAGATGAGGGTGCCGGGACACTCTCCTCAGCCATATAAGGAATAGAAGCCATATGTAAAACTTGTGTTTTAAGATAAAACACAGGTTACACTTATTAGATCTGTCCATAGTTAGCAATGGTGATTTTGCCATTCCTGGGCCCAGCGCCTCTGCGGCTTCCACGGTATTCAGGCCTTCTTCACCTTGCCCAAGCCCACATGCGTGCTATCCAGCCTCTCAGGCTTGGCCATGAAGATGAAAAACTGGAAACCGTTTGTGCTGGATCTGTATTTGCCGTGGACGAGCTCCAGGACCTATATGCTTCACGATGAAATTCTCATCATCAAATTTCTCCCCATAGATGGACTTACCGCCAGTGCCATTTGGCATGTAAAGTCACCACCCTGGTACATCCATCCTACAATAATTTTTTGAAAGCAGGAATCTTGAAAATCAAATTCTTCCTCCCTAGCACTCAGAGCATTTAAGTTTTATGCTGTCCTTGGAACATTTTCTGCATACAGCTCAAAGGAGAGGCAACCCAAGAGCTCACCATGTCAGAGAACACCGTGGGGTTGACCAGCTCTGGTCGAGCTGGGGCCAGCAAGGTGGCGACCACATATAAGCCGAGAACCTACCTGTAGGGTGAAGAAAATGTCAGGCTTTTCTGCCCTCCCACCATCAGGATAGATGATGGATCCTTGTCCTGAATACATGCCTGATGGCGGCACCTGGAGTGGGGTGTGGGATTTAGATGGGATTCACCTGGGCTAAGACTGGGCTTTTAAGGGCGGCGTCACGGGGACGCCAGCAGGAGCCGAGAGAGAAGCAAGAGAAGCAGAAGCTGAGAGAACGTCGGAGAACCCAGATAGAATGAAGACTTGCTGGGGGCTGGGAGGTCTGCCAGCCTTCCGGCCCCCCAGCACCCCGCCTGCTGTGTACTGGGTAAATCCCAATAAAAGACCTGCAAAAAACCACTGAGGACTCTGACTCCTCCTTTACCCGGTCTGCATGGGATCAGAAAACCTGCACCGTGTCCTTCCCTGGCCTTACACTACCTTGTCCCCAGCCCTGTGTCTAGGCCAGGAGGACACAGAAGAGGGTAAGGGGCTGACTGGTCCAGACTGGGTAGGTAGGCAGGTTGGGGTTAGGGAAGGTTTCACAGAGACCTTGTGGAATAAGGGAGGGTTTACTAGGGCTGCCAAAGGTACAACAAATTCCAAGCAAATAGGGAGACACCTACGAAGGTTGGATCCTAAGGCAGGACTGGGTGTGAGAGAAAGAAACAAAGAGCCAGCAAGCTTCCACTCAGCCTCGCCTTTGCCCGTATGATGCCCTCCCTCAGGAGACACCTGGGAAGCACCTGAGGGCTCTCTCCTGGATCTGCACCAGCTACTCAATCCCCATGAAGGACACAGACGCAAAATGGCTCATTCGAAGAGACCCACAGGGCTGGATTTTCCCAAGTCCAAACACCAGCAGCTCCCCAATGTTCTCATTTTCCAGGGAAAGCCCCCAACAAGCATCCACCTCTTTGGTCCTTAAAGGGAAGACTTAGACACGCTGTCGACTGTTGACTGGCGTGGGGGAACTCTCACTTGCTGAGGCTACTTCTAAATACGCTCAGTGGCTCCCGAGGAGATGATTCACATCGCTGTCAGGAACACCCACAGATTTTTTTTCCTTCTGGATTATTAACATATTTCAGGTGTAAAGTGGTGAGTTTTTCACTTAAATTATTTGGTTAATTGCCCTGCAGGTGGAGACACATTCTCAGAGGGAGGAGCAGGCCAAGGCCGTGAGCCCATCCCCCCAGCCCCGGGCACCTTGGCACAGAGAGATCTTTGTGCGCAAACCGTCTGGTAGAAATAACAGTTATTATTATTTGAGAACATGAGCTGTTGGAAAATTGGCCCATGCACAAGTGGGGAAAGTGTGCCCCACCCCCCGAATTGCCTGTATGGGCAGAGAACTAATGAGCTCCCTGCTTGTGATTTCAAAACTGACCTGGTAGGGAATTTCGCCTCTGGAAATACTGCCAGGGGGTTTGAAATGAATACCTTCAGAGAATGTTTGAACATCAGAGAGGGGAGCGCTCTAAAATTCCTCTAAGCCCACCCCCCATTTCAGAGAAGGGAGGCCACGGCCTGAGAGGTGTGGCCCCTCGCACGGGGTCATGTCACAGGTAAGAGGAGGGGTACAGCCCGGCTGACTGGTACCCACCCCTGGGGGCTGCATCTGATTCTGTCCTCCTGTGGAGGACAGCCTGCCCCTCTGAGCCAGCCCCCTGATGGCCTCTGGGCCCCCAGGGACAGTGGCACCCGATGGGGCCGAGTGGCCAGCCACACCTGGGACATTTGTCCTCACAGTCTTGCGTGAGCCAGACCTCCAGTCTTCGCAGAGTTCGACGCTGCTATCTCCATCCTGTGGAGAGAAAAACGGAGACCCTGGAAGTGGCATGGCCTGGGCAAGGTCACCAGCTGGAGACTGTAACCAAGTCTGATGGATTCGAAAGCCCCATTGTACGTCTGAGGGCAGAGAGCCAGGGGGATGCAGGGAGATTAAGAAGGAACTGGGGGTGAGGGGGTGGGACTTTGTCATCACAGGACCTCCAGAAAGGCGCTTCCCCTGGGAGGGGATACCACAGCGCAGGCCTCCGACTCCATCTGCTGCCCCCTCCCCAAACACACACCCCTGCACAGAGCCTTCTGGCAGCTCCTGGGCAATTCACTCCTTCCCCATCGAGTCCAAAGGGCCTGCTGTCAACACGTGCTGTTGGCTCTTCCTTCCAGAAGCTCTGTCATTCCCCAGTGTTACCCTATCTAGGGAGAAGAACATGGAGGCTTAGCCCATGGAAGGGACTTGTCCAGCCTGTGTGTTTGGCTCCAGCAGATCCGGGACCCTGTTTGGGTCTTGGGACTCTGAATTCAGCGTTCCTCCCCAGGCCCAGCATGCCTCATCTCACAGCCCCAAGTGACCATGGGAATTTCTTCATCACTCAGGCAGGTAAGTGGACGAGGTGAGCAGAGCGAGGGCCATGGGGGCCTCTCCTTTGCAAGATGCTTTTCCTCCCAGGGCTAAGGTCCAAGGCCGGAAACTACCGCTGCCTCTGGGCAGCCTCGGTGAATGGACCTCACCCCGGGCTCTCCATCAGGCCCAGCCTGGGCTCCTGCCCTGCTGCTCCGGGGCAGAGCTTTGCGGTTTGAACCAGAGTCAGCAGAGGACCCGATGCCAAAGATGCCACCCGCTGTGGCCCCGAGCAATGCACCCCAGGGTGCCCATAAAGACGGACAGACGCACGAGGAGCGATCTGCTGCCCTCCCTGCTGAAAGAAGGCCATTCTCGACGCTGCCAGCTGCGCACTGCCCTCCCACACACCCTCCCAGGAGACGCGCAGACAAGAGGCGGATTCAGCTCAGGCACAATGAGCGCACAGAAGACTGACCCCCCCACGTCTCCGCTCTGATGCTCACGGCCGCACCCACCTCCCCACCCAGAGCAAGTGCCAGACAGGCAGAGCCGGCTCTGGGGAAGCCCTCTCCCTGCCCTGCCCTCATCTCCACGCACCAGGCAAAGTCGGGGCTGGGCTCCAAATTCCTGCCTACACCCCCTCAAGGACCCTGGGCTCCTCATTCCGCTCACTGGGGTTCCGTTTTCTCAGCTGATGACGTCCTGTCCTGTCCACCCTGCCAAGGCCCAGTAGGGGCCACTGGGTTTAGACCCCAGGTGCTGGCCCTTGAAGGTGGATCTTTCCACATGAGGGGTTCTTGCCTTCTGTGGGATCCCCGATGGTCAGACAGCACACAGCTGTGCACCCAGAAATGCCACTGAATGTCCCCTTCGTGCAGGAACCATTCAGGGGCTGAGGACACCCAGGTGGACTCTGCAGGCCAATTCCTCACTCAGTGACACATTGTAGAGAGAGATGAACACCAGACACGTAAATATAAGCTCTGATCTTGTTAAGGAGATGACACAGGGAAAGCGGATCGCGTGTGGGAGAAGCTGCTTGACATAAGGTGTTTGAAATGGCGCAGCAGGCCTCTCCTGTCTCCCCGCCGCTCCCCTCAGCAGTGGATTTCAGCAGATCCGCCTGCTCTGTCCCCCACTCTGTCTCTGGTGACTCCTCTCCCCTCTGCACCCCTGGCCCACACCCCAGCTCTTGGATGCACAAATAAATAAATCTTTAAAAAAAAAAAAAACAAAACCGTTATCCTTTTGCTTTTCTAATGATAACCATCCGAGTGGATGGGACGCGGTATCTTGCTGTGGTTTTGACTTGCATTTTCTTATTGATTAATGATGGTGAGTGTCTTTTCTTGCAGATGTTTGTTGTTTTGGCTATTTGTAGCTTTTCTTTGAAGAAACAAGCTGTTTTTTTAAGCCGTCCAGGGGGTTGTATAGACACCAACTGGGGGAGACAGGGACACTGCAGGGAGGGCCGTGGCCGGTTTTCTGGGCTGTTTTGAAAGTAGAGTTGACCCGGTTTGGGGTTTGGAGGGAAGCGCCACCTCCCAGGGGCACCGTGTTAGCCGGGCGTTCCCAGCTGAGGCTGCTGCAGGGCAGAACCCCACACCTCGGAGACTCCCAACTCCCCTCGGGGACCAAAACTTTCCAACCCCACAGAGGAGGGTGCTGGGAGCCAAGAAGAAACTCGGGAAAGGAAAAGCTGCTGAAGCTCAGCGCAACAAGGCCCTAGAAGTGGCTTGGGCAAGCGGTGAGCCCCAAGAGGCGTCTTTGCCACTGTCGGCCTTTGTTCTTCAATTCGATGCCTGAATCACCCAGAGTCATAATCTCTCCCTTCTCTGCAGCTCTCCGTGGCTCTCAAAGCACTTTCCTATCGATGATCTCAACGGATTGCTTATCCCAAGCCCAGGTGGGCAAACTGGAGCCCCGTGACGAGAGCCAGAATCTAAGCTGTTTCCCCAAAAGCTCGGAGAGAAGCTTCACAGAGAAGGTGCTGACGCATCGGCGAAGGCAGGACACGCACCTTCCCCACAGCGCCTCTCATCAACAGTGAGGGGCCCAACGTCTAATCGCGGTGACTTGGCCAGAAAAATGAGGACTGACGTGGTGCTTTCATTTCCAGCAATTCTCTTCTTCTCATCATTTGATTCTCCCGGTGACTATGAAATGTGTGTCATTTGTGTCTTCATGCTGCCAGAAATTGAATGGCGCCCCATCAAGGTCAAGCAACTGTGGGCACAGAGATCAGCTCCGGGTGGGGGCACCAGCACCCACACCCTCCCGTCCAGCCCCAGCCTCATCCTTGGGGGTCAGTGGGGACCACAAACCAGCTGAGTGACCTTGGGCAAGACTTCTTATCCTCTTTCAGCCTCCTCATCTGCAACATGGGGGTAAATCATAACTACCTTCCTCGATATGGCTCGTGTCCCTGTTTACACTTCCCCCAGCTGTTGTCCACACAATCACTGGATTGATTAAAAAAAAAAAAACACAGCTCGTTTCTTCAAAGATCTACAAATAGCCGAAACAAACACCCACGAGGAAAGACTCAGCATCATTAATCAACAAGAAAATGCAAATCAAAACCACAATAAGCTACCACGTCACATCCTCTACCTTCCTACATATCTACTGCAGGAATGCACCGAGGAGGCTTCAAGAAATAGCAGCGCTTGTTAATACTGAGTTGAATTAGCCATTAAAGTAGATCAGGGGAAGCAGGGGTTGCAGAGAAATCATCAGGGGTACAGTGGGAGGAAGCAAGAGAGGAGGAGACTTGTGTGGGTGACCCAGTGACCCGCAGGAGGGGAAGTCCCCTCAAAAGGGCGTCCAGTGCTCAAAGGCCAATGATCAACCTGCTCCCAGGCCAAGGGGCAGCTCAGAACCTGCAGAGCTGCCCATCAACACCCTGCCCCCTCCAGCCCCTACCCCAGCCTGCCCTGGCTGGATTACCGGGGTACCCTTCCCTGTTTCCCCACCTGGTACCCTACATGCCTCCCTCATGGAGGCCTGTCCATACCTCTCCCCTAGCTGGTGCCCCACTCCAACCTCCATCACCCCTGGAACTACTTGTCATCTCCCCAGCCCCCCACCCTAGCTCCACTCACTCCATCAGCGTGCACCCCAACACCCTGGAGTGAATAAGAGATAAATATTGTGTCTCCTGCTCTGGAGTCCTTACGGGATTCCCGGCCACTGGTCGGAGTCATGGGGGTGACCCACAGGTGCCACCAGGGCATCGGTGCAGCCTTGACCTCTGTTCTGTCATTGGGTCCATCCCTTTGGCTTCAGCTGACTCCCCTCTCTAGACAGACCCCAGTTTCCAGACAAGTACAATGCAGGAACACAAAGAAGGGGCACAAAAGAGGGAGTGTAATCTGTGTTTGCATCATGATACCAGCCCTTGGAAAATGTAGATTTGATTTTCTCACGTTGTGGATTTCAGCAAACAGCTGTCGGATAGTGAATGAGCCAGGGCAGCACAGGGCAGGAGTGGGGGCGGGGTGGGGGGCAGCACCCCGGGAGTCAGCACTTACATCCATCCGCCTGGGGCTAAGAGGGAGTGGCAGACGTCCCAGGAGAGGGATCGCCTTGTGCAAAGTGATGTGGCAAGTCAGGCGTGCAGTCAGCCCCTGCTTTGCGGCGTCCGGCCAGGGAGGGCTGGGGGTGCAGCGGGCTGCGCCACGTGGGTGTGAGACACACCCTGTGCCGGGAACCCCACTGTGCATGTCGCAGGGCACATCCCCTCGTGAACTGATGAAGAGGGGGAGGGCAGCGCTGCCGTCACACGCCCCCTGCCTGCAGACTCCACCAGGAAACTGCCCGCCCATCTGACCCAGGCGCGAGGCAGCTCTTATTTTTGATCTTCCTGGCGACCCAGACAGAGGGTTTCCAAGGGGCTGGGATGGTGGTGCCAGTGCCCCCCGCCCTCCAATCTGGCTCAGTTTGTTTGGGTTTCTCCATCGTCAGGGACTTTGTCCGCTGGCCGCGAAGCACATATTTCACACTTTGTTGGAAGGGACAAAAGATCTTAGGGGCCAAAACAGAAGTCAGATTGTTGTATTGTTCTAAATAAGAATGTGTTGAGTTCTTGCCAGAGATTCGAAAATGACAAGAATGGATTCTGTGTGTTTTGCTGCTGGAGAGTCAAAATATTGTTTTTGGAAGGTGTCCTGGGGTGCCTCCCTCCGCTGCGGATCGGGAGATAAATCGTCCGGGCAACGTGCTCCTGGCGCTGAGCGGCCGGGCTGGGGAGCCCGTCAGGCTGTGGTGCCAGCTCGGTGGGGGACAAGAGCCCGGGAGCCGGGACCCAGGGTCAACCCTGCCCACACCACCTGCTTCCCGGTCATGTGACCCAGGGCCGGACCTGCCCTTCCTGGTGGCTGGTTCTTGGCACCAACTAGCCGGGAGACTCTGGAAGGTCCTCCCTGAAGACTGCCTCCACGCCGCAGCTGGCATCTGGGTCCCTGAGTGGGACTCGAGGGTGGAGCATGAGGATTTGAACTCTGTCCTAAGGACCCACGCCCAACGAGAGGGAGGACAAGCAGGGGGTGACCCCCTGATGGCGAGCAGCCCCCAGGCTGGCCTGTCTCCTCCTCACGCTCAACTTCCGCAGTTGACAGTCTCTAAGCGGGATGTGTCATCAGACTTTCAGGAGCCCCGGGAGGCCACCAGGGCCGAGCTGATCAGCCTCCTTCAAGAAGCCAGGGCTACCCGCCCCTCATCCTGGCACAACCCTCCACTCCCTTGCGCCTGTCTTCTGGGGATGCAAAGGAAGGAGACGTGAGCCCTGCCTCGAGGTTCAGTCTTCCAGGAGCCGATTCTGTCCTCTTTCCCGGCACCCCCTGGTCCACTGTGCTCCAGGCCCTCTCTCCACACTCCCCACGGCTTCCCAAACAACATTCCCACGAACGAGGGGGAAAGGCACGGTTCCCAGAAGGAACCAGACGCACCGCCTTGCTGAGTTGCGTCAGTCATGTTCACTTCACACGGAATTCTGTGCACCGACTGGCTCAGCCTGCCCACGCCAGCTCGAGGAGGTCAGATTCATCGTCACCCACGTGCACTGTCCGCTGCCCTCCAGGGCGGCCGTGACCAGGGTTGGATGACTCTTGGAAGATGGCAAACCGATCAAGTTTCACACAGTGCCAGTTACCCCCCAGGCTTCAAGGAAGTAGGAATCACCCGTGCTGGGTGCTGGCTGGCCCTGGACCTGCACGCAAGGAAGCGGAGCTCGGGCTGGGTGCCAGGAGCAGGCTGTTAGCAGGAAGGCCCAGTGGACACTCTGCTCCCCAAGGAGGAAGCCAGGCTGGAGAGCGGGAGAAGGCCACCTATGAACTCCTGGACTCTTCCACCAGCTCCATCTCACCAGGAACTGTCATCAGCCCACACGGCGCAGCACCAGCAAGACCACACCCACGTGGGTCCACGTGAACCCACGTGAACCAGTAACCCGCGGTCCTCAAACATGCGTCCACCCTCCCCTTCCAGGGGCAGTGTCTGAGCAATGCTCTCTGGAGGGGCAGGAAAAGTGACTGACTCCACCAGTGAGCCAAATTGCTCAGACCTGGCCCTTGCTTCATGCACACTCAGCAAAACTACATCCCGCAGTGGCCCACTGCATGGCCAACCCTGGATTTGCTCAGAGGACCTCTCAGAGAGCTCATCTCCCTACCTGCACCCCATGTGGTGTGTCACGTATCCCCCCGATTGGACTCCTAACAAATGTTGAATTCTCTGTTTTAAACACTCCCCCACACTCCCCTGTGGAAGCTAAGCCTGAATGTCTAGTGGCCAGCTAAAGGTGACGGGTCAATACCACACACTTTCTAGAATGTATTTCCAAATTTTTCAATGAAAGAGTTCCTTCAAATTATATGATCCAAGCCCAGTTAAACAGCAGAAAGCACAGAATCTCCAAGAGGTCAAGATATATGTTCAAGGTCACAGCAAGCTGGAATGTGAACCCAAGTCTGTTTGCATCTGTTGCAAGCCCACCCTGTCCCCTGCTGTCACAGCTCGTGTTATGTGTGTGTGTGTGGGTGGTGGGGGAGTGCTTTCAGCACCTCCCTGCCCCCGTGCCCAGCTTCGAGGAGGTCAGCGATGACTGGCAGATGGGATGTGTCAGGGAATGACCCAGGAAGGCCTGGTTTCATGGCTGAGAAAAACAGGATGGAGCACAGGCCAACCGAGGGCCCCAGGTTGGAACCTCCTTCCTGCGGCTGGGTCCACTGCAGCTCTGCAGCCCTGGAGAGCAGTAGGCCGGAGGCCACAGGGCCTGTCCCAGGAGCACGCCCCAGAGGATAAGGTATACAGAAGTACATTTTGGTTCAAAACCCAGAAGACTTTAAATGGAATGAGGAAGGAATGCGGAGGCCCCATCATGAGGCATGTGAGCAGAATGTGGTGGAAGGGATCCAGCATTAAAATGGGCCTAGAGGGGCCCTCCCTGGTGGCGCAGGTGTTAAGTCTCAGCACTGTCAAGCTAACGGCAGCCACTGAAGCACAAGTTCGACCCCCAGCCAGGGAGCTGACCCACATGGTGCAGCAGACCTCTCCTGTCTCTCCCGCTGCTCCCCTCAGCAGTGTATTTCAGTCAATCCGCCTGTTCTGCTCCCCACTCTGTCTTTGGTGAATCCTCTCACCACCACCACCCCACACCTCTGGCCTACACCCCAGTTCTTGTATGCATAAATAAATAAAAATAAATTTTTGAAGCATGGTTAGAACCTCCAAGTTCCTTCCATCCTGGGGAAGGAAGGATGTCGCCACATTGGAAGAACAAGTGCACCTTTACATATATTATCTTACTGAGTGTCTACAAGGGTTGTCAGCCTCTCTTCATTTGGAGAAACTGAGGTTCAAAGAGATGAAGAGCTGCCTTGGAGCTAAAGCTGGTGAGGTCTGAGCCAGGATTCAGAACTGGTGTGAGGTCCACCTGGTGCTACTGGAGTCCCCGTACCACCTCACCGAGAGAGGACGGCCTCTGGGGGCTCCTGGGATTGATGACTCGAAATTGGAAACTGAGTCATCCCTGGCGACAGGACCTGATGAAGGCTGGGCTAATTTTAAATTTCCTCACAATTGCTCATCTGAAGCTAGAACAGCCCCGAGGGGGAATGTTGGCAAATGCTTTGTTTTCGTTTGATTTGACCAGAAAAAGGAGGACAGCAAAGGAGATGAGGTAACGGGAGTTTCACCCACCCACCCTGCACGCTGTTCCTTTGAAGGGTTTCAGGAAGCCCTGATAGGGGAAGAACCAACAACCAGGGCAAGTTTTTCAGTTTTTCCAGTTCATAAGCAAGGGCCACCCCCATCCCTGCTGGCCCCCAGGAGACACAGCCTTTGCTTCCCGGTTGAAGAAAAATACTCACCCACCCTGGGCTCTCTGGGCCTCAGAGCACTGGCACATTCAGAACAGACTCCTGCTGGGGGCTGGGGTGGGAGCTGGCAGGACAGGGAGGGAGAGGCCCTCGGTGACAGGCACACCGGGTCACGGATAAGGCACACAGTAGGGGTGTCATTGGGAATATTGAGTGTTAAAAGCAACTCACAGGTCCAGGGCAATTGTCTCTGAGTCAATCATCGTGTACCACGAGGAACAGTTTCCCTCTGGTCACTTGTCTGCTGAGACTGTGCTGTTGGGCGACACACCCCAGCCTCACCCAGTGACCCCGTCCTGCCTCAGACTAACTGTGGTCCCGAGTGACCCCGCCCTCTCTCAGCCTCAGTTTCCCCAGGTATAAAATGGGGAGAGCGCTGGCCGGCGGGGGCTGTCATGAGGAGGAAATAAGAGAGGCGTGAAGACGCCCTCCCCGCCAGGGTCTCCGGCTAGCGGGCAGGAAGCTGAAAGCAGAGCTGGATAGCCCGCACAGAGGAAGCCGCCATGGACGGAGGACTCCAGGCCGGGGCTGACCCTCTGCTGAGACACAGACAGAAGGAGGGGGCTTGGCCTCAGGAGTCGCTGCCTGTTTCATGCCAGCCCTGAGAGTTTCCTCCTCTCACCTGTTTCCTGGGTTGGGGACCAAGGCTTGAGAATGAGATGACAAAGCAGGGGGACAGGCAAAGCCTGGGCTTGAGGCATCCCCCCACCTAGGCTGTCTGGGAGCACAGTTTCTGTGAAGTGAATTCCAAGAGCTCCCTCCCTACAAGCTTTCCTAATGGCCTTGGAAAATGAGCCGAGGACACTGCACCCTCCCTCCTTTGTGATTCACCAGCCAGCGCCTGTGCAAGGGGCCTGGGGTGAGTGACCTCAGAGGGCCAAGGACTCGGGAACCAGCACAGTCTTCCGAGCCCATCTCCAACCCTCTCATTTCTACCAGTGGGGGAACCGAGGCCCAGGGCCAGTGGCGTCTGAGAAAGAATGTTTCATCATAAAACAGAAAAATCAAGAGTGCTGGTCACTTCCCTGGGGCCTAAGGCTACCAAATTAAGGGAGTGGAGAAGGTTGAGGACATAAGATCCTCCATAGCCAGCAAGTGAGATATGGGTCTCATCTATAACCCCCGGGGGAGATTCAGGAAGCCCTAGAGCCCTTCCTGACAGTCCCCCAGGGTCCCTCCTCATAGGACCCCCAACCCCCAACCCCCAGCCCTGACCCTAAAGCTAAAGAGCACGGGCCACCTCTCCTAGGTGCCACCTCCTTGTTCTTCCTGGCCTTCAAGAGATTAGAGGAAAGATAACATTCCGGGGGGTGGCGGCCGGGAGTGCAGATCAAGGCACCCAGCCGCCACCCCCAGCCTGGCCGGGGCCTATTCTCTCAGCTGTCTGTCCATCAGGCTCCAGGCGCTCCTGCCCCCCTCCCCGGGAATGTAAGGAATTCCCTCCCAAAAGCTAGTCTGTCCTCTCCCCCAAGCCTCCCCTCCCCCCAGGCATCCATCAGCTCAGCCTTTTAGGAATGAGCTCACTCCTGGCACCGCCAGGCCGGGAAGCGTCAGCTAATCCCCGGCACATCCATCACTCTGCATCTCTCTGCTTCGGGCCAGGGAGGGCGCCCACCTATTGGGCCAGGACAGACAGATGACTGGAAGGACAGGCACCCCCTGGGAGGCAGGACAGAGGCCAAGCAGGACACACCCAAAGTCAGAGGGTTGTTTTCGGTGTCTTGGGGAAGATTTTATCCTTCCAGAAATGCTGGCATTCGGGACACTCTGCTTGTTTGATGGTGAGGAGGGTTGGCAGAGGGACCGTTGGTTTTCCTGCTGCTGAGGAGAAGGCTCATCGAGCTGACAGGTCGGACCACGCTCTAGAGAGTGGCGGAAGCCAGGTCACAACTCCCCAAAGATTTGCCTCCTTTTCTTCCAACAGCTGCCCGTGTGGTCGGGATGTCAAGGGCCCCACACAGCCCTGCTTTCCAGGACCCCGGCCTGGCACATGCTGTGCTGTTCCCACTTTCCCACCGCCTCTCTGGTCCCTGTGCAAGCTTCCTCCGGCCCCTCTGGCATTGCTCCCACATGCTTGCCCCCTTCTCTCCGTCCGGTGCTGTCCTCCATGACATGTCTCGGCCTTGGGATCCGTCTCCTGCGCTGCACCAAAGCTCCGTGAAAGTAAGAACCTCAAACTCTTATGACAAGGACGCAGCCCCAAATCTGCCATTTCCTGCCTGTGCGACCCCAGCAAGTTCCTGGACTTCTCTGAGCCTCTACTTCCTTCTGTGCAGAATAGGGATAAAGACCCTAGTTTAGACTTCCGTGGAAGCAATGGGGGTGGAGGGGGGTTCTAGCTCCTAAAACAAAAGGTGCAGAAGACCTATGTCTTCACTCAGTACCTTAGCCTTTCTCCCCTTCATGTCTGCGGGTGTCTTAAAGCCAGAGCATGCAGGAAACTTGATTATTCTGTCTTCACCCTTAACTTCTTTGCTGTAAATAATCAATTCAACAAATACTAGCAAGTTTTTCTTATGTGCTGGGCACGGTGCTGGAGATTTGAGTCCTACAGTGAACTAGTTCCTTCTCTATAAGACGGGCAGATACTGAGCAGCTTGAAAAGGCCTATGTGGTGTGAGCACTGGACGGGGAGTGGTATGCAACTCAGACCAACACAGGAGAGAGATTTGAAAGGAGGGCTTCTTGGAGGAAGGGGCATCTAGCAGAACACCCATGGGATAAATAGGAGTGAGCCAGGCAAATGGGATTCCAGGAGAGGAGCCACCCAGGCCTAGAGAGCTCTCCATGGCTCAGAAGACACAGGTGCTGAGTACCCAGCTCCATGGCACAACAGCTTCACACAGACTGCATTTCCGGGGAACCCTTCTGGCACTGCAACCTAGCGGGAGCCCCTTGGCCAGGAGTCCAACTCTTAAATTAAGTCACTCAAATCACAAAGGTCCCTCTCTGGGCTGGCCCAGCCCTCAGGGGGGATGCAGGAAGGGTGGAGGGCACACAATCTTCTGCTTGGGGTAATTTTAGCTACATCGTCAGGCGTGCCCTGGGCCACCCCTCAGCCTGGTCCACTGAACTGGGAAGGGCTCCTGCTCTGGAGACTTTGAAAGGATGTGGGCTTTGGAAGGAGGCCAGGCGAGCAGGATGGAAGGCCAGGCCCAGGCAGGGCCCTTCCTCTGGGGGGCAGGACGGGTGTGCCGGCACCGGGACTCCCTGTGCCACAGCTCTTATGCCGAGGAGCTGCTGACTGATAAGGTGGCCAGCCCTGGGAGGAAATCAAAGCAGATCAAAGGCCTTGGGGGGGATCGCAGAGGGATTCTGGCTAACAGGGCACAGGAAGTAAAGCAGGAGGAATGGCTTGGCTAGGCGCAAAGGCTTTGCACCCAGAGCACCCTCACGGGTTTCCCGCTGCCCCGTGTACCCACTGTGTGTGCTTGGGCAGGTCACGCCTCCTGTCTGTGCCTCCATTTCTTCATCTGCAAAAAGGCCTCAAGAGAAGAAGCACCTGTCTCCTAGGGTGACGGGGAGCAGACACGCTCATCACGTGGGGGGTGGGGGGCATGGGAAAGGCAGAACGTCACGATGGGAGCGAGCGCCCAACAATGCTTACAGGACAAAAAAATGGCAACTCAGGGCCGAATCCGAGCTCTGGTCTCCAAACCCTTCAGCTGGTCTCTTCCCTGCTCTAGACTCATCAAATGAAGCTAAATCAGAGGCTCCTCTCCAGGTACAGGGTAGAGATGTGCCCTCCAGGGCGCCCTCCAGGGTAGGGATGCTTTTTCAGACTATGATGTTCAAAGCCCCTCGGTCAACACCAGGAGATTCAACTCGTAGCTGCCCCCTCAAGGGATGGGCACCTCCAGGGAATGGCCACGTGTGGAATAGTTTGGAAACAGAGAAAAATGGGGAAACTTGAGAATCTTGCAGTTGATCTGCTTAAGTTCCAGGGTGGGAGCTTTCTGAGAAAAGAAGATTAAATAAGGCTTTATGGAAAACAACACAGAGGGTCTTCAAAAAAATAAAAGTAGAGCTACCCTATGACCCAGATATTCGCTCCTGGGTATGCATACATAAAGGACCTGAAATCAGGATCTTGAAGAGGTATCTGCATTCCCATGTTCATTGCAGTATTAGATCTGCTAGTCAAGATATGGAAATAACACGAGTGTCATGGGTGGATGATAAAGAACATGTGGCACATTTATACAGTGGAATATTATTCAGCCATAAAAAATGCAAAGTTCTTGTCATTTGTGACTATACAGATGGAACTGTTGAGTGAAATAAGCGAAACATAGGAAGACAGCGGGGCATGTACCATAGATATGCGGAATCTAAAAATGAAGTCAATCGCATAGAAGCAGAGTAGAACACTGGTTGCTGGGGTAGGGGAGAGGGAAAGGGAGCCATCTCCCTCGAGGATCTAAAATACAGCCGGGTGATTAGAGCAAACACTGCTGCATCACACGCTTGACATTTGCTGAGAGCAGACTTTAAGCATTCTTACCACACACACGGAAATTGATTAACTGTATGAGGTGATGGATGTGTTCGTTCTCTTGATAATCATTTAAATCTCAAATCATCATGTTGTGCACTTCAATGTATACAACCCTATTTTCAATTAATTCTCAAGAAAATGGGGAGAAAAATAAACATTCACATCACCATCCGAAAAAAGAAAATTAGACAAGATGAGACCCGAATGCTCAAACAGTTCCCTGACAGCTTCATAGGCTGCTGCAGATGAGCCCATTGGCAAAGCCTGACGTTCTCCTTCAGCGGAGGAATAGAAAAGCCCCGCTCACACCAGATGGCCCGGGGGTGCACGGCGCGCTGCACCAGCCGGAGGTAAGACTCCTGCGCCTGTGGCCGTGGTCCCGTCTAGAGGGCGAATTTTCCGTGTGTCCAGGCTCAGGCCTGGCTCTCCGAGCTCCAGCATTTGCAGAGAGCGTTTGCTCTCCTTGACGTTCTTTCCGTCCTTTTCATCTTTAGGATCCTGAAAGTATCTTGAAGCCCCGTCAGCTGTCGCCTCTCAGATGCCTCCCCGGACCCCTCACTTCTGCGGTAGGAAGTCTACAGAAGGCAAGGAGACAGCAGAGACTCTTTAATAAGCACCTAGATCCTTCTTCTGTGTAGAAGGAACCACTTTCAGCAAAGCCTGAGCACTCCCTACGTCTTACCCTTCTTCTCACACGCCAGTTATGTCCAGGCACTCAGGGAGGGAAGGAAGTTGGGTGTCTCATTGCTAGGAGATGTCTCTCCCGAGAGACTAGTGCTGGGAACACACAGTGAGCCCCCCACACACCCGTCCCTGCTCATCTGCTCCCCTCCATCTTTCCCCACACATATTTATTCCAGATGGGTCCAGCGGATCCAAGTATGGGAAGGCAAGCTGTTGACCCACTGTGAGAGGACACCCATGCCCTCCGCCCTCTGCCCTCTCTCTTCTGCCTGTGGGACGGCTGCCGTCGTCTATTGTGTGGCCCAATTCAGCCACAGAAGGGGATTAGGGGATTGTGATGAGCCCGGATGCCACCCCGTTAGCATCAGTCCCCTGTTTGGTGTCACAAGACCCTCTGGCTAAGACCTTTGGTGAGGGCTTCCCTGGTGGCGCGGGGTTAAGTCTGAGTACTATCAAGCTGTCAGCAGCCACTGAAGCATGAGTTTGATCCCCAGCCAGGAAGCTGACCGCATGGTGCAGCAGACCTCTCCTGTCTCGCCCGCTCAACCGTGTATTTGTTCCCCTCAACAGTGTATTTCAGTGGATC